TACGCTAGTAGGAAAGAATAGTATAAAAGACGATTAGTAGAAAGTTTAAACCTATATATATAATAGCTTAACTCTAGTAAAATCTAAACTATTAGTATTTATTACTACTATTACTCCTAAATATTTTTCTATTAGTAAAGATTTATCTATTATTAAAGGTTTAATTAATAGTACTATAATAAGAGACTAAATAATAGTTAAATCTTTTAGGTCTACTATACTATTATTAGGAGGGGGAAAGGGATAAGAAGCTCTAGCCTTCCTTTAAAGTAGATAGTAGTAGTAGAAGAAACCTAGTTATTAGGTCTTTTAGATTAATCGTACTATTATAAGAGGAGGGGATAAGAAGCTCTAGACTTCCTTTAAAGTAGGTAGTAGTAGTAGAAGGAACCTAGTTATAAGGTCTTTTAGATTAACGATATTATTATAGGGGGGGACGAGAGGGGTTAAATCGTTCGAATTAACTATACTATTATAAGAGATAAAAGAGGGATCTAATCTTTCGGATCTACTATACTATTATTAGAGGGGGGGGGTCTACGATTAATAGTCGAAAGATTTAAATCTTTTAGGTCTATTATACTATTATAAGAGGGGGTCTACGATTAATAGTTAAAAGATTTAAATCTTTTAGGTCTACTATACTATTATAGGAGGGGAGGGTCTAAGATCAATAGTCGAAAGATTTAAATCTTTTAGATCTACTATAGTATTATAAGAGAGGTCTAAGATTAATAGTTAAAAGATTTAAATCTTTTAGTTCTATTAGACTATTATAGGAGGGGTCTAAGATTAATCGTTGAAAGATTTAAATCTTTTAGATTTACTATACTATTATAGGAGAGGGGGGGGTCTAAGATCCTGTTTTTAGGTAAGTAGTAGTAGAAGGGGAAGGAGCTTAGTCCTAAAGGTATAATTTTTAAGTATATAGTAGGAAAGAGGAAGTAGCTTAGCTCTAAAGATCTAATTTTTAGGTATATAGTAGTAGTAAGGAGTAGTTTCCTCTCTAAAAACCTCTCCTAGAGAACCTTCTTTTATAACTAACCTACTAAAAGAATAAGAGGGAGGGCTATTAGTACTATAAGATCCTACTATAATTATTACTCTAGGTATAAAAATTAAGTAACCTTAATAAATAAAAAAGGTAATAATATAAATTAACTTATAATAGTTAAGAAATACTAAGCTACTTCTAGAGCTAGAGAATAACTAGAAAATAACTAGGACTAGAAAATAACTAAGACAACTATTATTTATTCTAGTTTTAATAATTATATTAAGTAATGAAATAATATATATTATATAGTCTAGCCATATTATAATCTTCTAATCGTAAAACTTAATAATTCCTATAAATTAACTTAGCTTCTTTTCTTCTACTATTAAAATAAATTATATAAAAAGGAAAAAGTTTCTTAGCTAAGCCTTATACTTTATAATTCTAGTAATAACCTACTTAAATAGGAGTACCTAAGGCCTATAGGAGAGAGCTATAAAGTAGGTTCTAATAGATATATTAGCTAAAGCTATTTTAAACCTATCTAGTTTATTACTTATTCTAGTTTTTAAGCCTTTTAGCCCTACTATTTCTTATATCTTTTTAGAGGTAATAAACTCTTAGAAGTTCGGAGAGTCTTTAGAATTAATACTCTTACTTATCTAAGGCTAAGTTATTATTTACTACTTATTAAACTAAGTATTGGGATTTATAGATAAGGAAACTATAGGAGATAGAAGCCGGATCTAAATACCTAGTTCCTCTATATTATAAAACTAGGTTACTATAGAGGGTAAGATAGTTATATACTCCTTAGCTAGGTACTAGCTACTTAGATATAAATTAGATATCTAGGATTTATAGTAGTATAATCTTTCTTTTACCTAAATATTTAACTTTAGAGGAGGATTAGAGAGAGGGGTTTTTAATAAGGTTTTTATCTTTAATTAATTAAAGGATATCGGAGTTTATATTTATTAGGGTAGTATAGATAGCTATAATATTAAGCTACGAAATATTAATTATAATTATAGTTATATATATAAATATAATAAGTTTATAATAACTTCTACCTTTAACTTAATAGCCTAATAGTAAATTAATTCTATAGCGTTAATAAGGATATTCCCTACTACTACCGGAAGTTCTATAAAAACCTTTAAATAGAGGTATAGTAGTACCTTAGTCTACCCAAATAATTTACATAAGAGTTAGTATTATATTATAAAAGTAGTAGATAATACTTAATAGATATTTATTTAAAAGGATTAAGGTTTTATTACCTATTTATTTACTTTCTATATACCCTAGGTTATATTGTATATATATATATATACATAGAATTAAACTATATAGAATTACTATAGGAGGTAATAGTAGAACTAGTTTTATTATTTCTTCATATATAATATCTTTAATATTCTTTATTATATAAGTCTTTTAGATAGTATAATACTTATATTCTTTGTTTAATAAGTCCTTTATAATAGTTCCTACCTTTATATAAATACTATACTAGTAGTTCTAGGAAAGTAATAACTTAAACTTTTAAACCTGGTAGTAAGGATAAAAGGGGCCTAAAGAAGGAAGAGGTTTAATTAGAATCGTAGAGATATCTAATAAAGATCTTAATTCTAAGAGGGGGCCGGTATATATAAAAGAGCTATAATAGCTACTCTAATTTAGTAGGCCGGAAAATATAGAAAGGTTCAGATAAGGGGCTATTATTATAATAGGAATTAAAGGTAGGTAAATCTATTTAAATTAAGATTATAGAATTAATAATAATAGAGTATTTAGTAGTAATAAAAGGTAGATTCTATAGGCCTACTTAAGATTATAACTTTAAAAAGAAGAGGGCTATATTCTAATAAGTAATACTAAGTATATAGTCTTAGATCTTTATAATATCCTAGCATTTATATTATGGTAGATATACTCTCTTAGACTATATTATCTAGAAGGAATCTAAACTCTACTTAGTTCTTAGACTTTATAGTAGTATATATGTCTTTATTAAAACTTTAACTAGAAATATAATTACTCTTAAAGTTAAATTATCTAATACTATTAATAATATAAAGTCTAAGATCTAAGTTAAGGAGGGTTAAATTAAGTACTAAAGATATTAAGACTACTATATTAAAGAGTACTATACTTTAATAAGTAATACTAAATATACTATCTTAAACCCTCCTTTTATAGGAGTAGTAAATAGAGTAATTTATAGGAAAGAATATATAATAGAGCGGTAGTATAAGTAATATTAGAGGGGGTTTTATAAGGAGCTTATTCTATGTTTTACTATAAATAGAATAAGCTGAAGTATTTACTATTATTTATACTCTTATTATTAGTTTTATAATATTAATTCGCGAATATTCTAGTAAGTATATAATTCTACCTAGGTACTTAAAAGCTATAGTATTTAATCCTTATATAAAAGCTTATCTAGATACTAGGCTAGATAGCTTAGGGCTATTTCTAATAGACGTTTTTTTAAAGATAGTAGTAAGAGTTATATAAGTCTTAAAATACTTACTTATAGTTTTATAACATCTAATAGCTATAGTATAATTAGTAATCTCTTTCTTTTTATAGCTTTAAAAGAGTTCTCTAGTAATATCTAGGTAAGTACTCCTATACTCCTACTAAGTAGAGCTAAGAGTATTAAAGATCTTAAGATTATAAGTTTAAGGACTACTACTAAGTAACAATAAGTATATAGTCTTCGATCTTTATAGAGGGTCTTTAAGTACTACTAAATATATAGTCTTATATCTTTATAATATCCTAGCGTTATACTATAAGGTAGCCCGCTAGCGATTTATTAATATTAATTCTATATAAGCCATCGAAAATTATTTAATCTTTGGACTAATAACTCTATTTAATCTAATAATATAAAGGCTATAGAATACTATTTAATCTCAGTACTAATAACTCTATAGTTACTATCGAATACTATTTAGAAAAAGGCTCTTAAATACTATTTAATCTCTAGACTAATAACTTTATTTAATTTCTAAACTAATAACTTTATTTAATTTCTACACTAATAACTCTATTAAAGGCTATCGAATACTGTTTAATTTCTAGACTAATAACTCTATTAAAAGCTATTAAATATCATTTAATTTCTAGACTAATAACTCTATTAAAGGCTATTAAATACTATTTAATCTTAGGACTAATAATATAGAGGCTATTAAATACTATTTAATCTCTAGACTAATAACTTTATTAAAGGCTATTAAATATAATTTAATCTTATGACTAATAACTCTATTAAAGCTATTCTTAACTACCTTTATTAGGTTACTAGGTAATAAGTACAAGGAGTAATTTATAGGAGGGGATACTTAATAGAAGGGTAAGGGTAAGTAATATTAAGAGGAGTTTTATAGAAGAAATTTATTACTTACTTTTTACTATAAATAGTATTTATAATTTACTATTAAATATATATTTATTATTAAAATCTCTATATATAAAAATACCTACCTTTAGTATATCTAAAATCCTAGAATAAACTTAAATATTTATTAATAGTTCTCTTACTATTAAATCTATAATATTCTTTTATAAATACTCTAGTAGGTATATATACTTTAGAAGTATAATTCTAGAATATTAAAGTACTTTTACTTTGGTAAGTAAATATTACTTTCTTAAATATCAAATTAATTAAATTAACTCCTTCTTTATATAGTAACTTCTCTTATATACTAGGTATAGAATAGAGCTTAGGGCCTTAAATCTATTATTTTTTAGAGGATTTATAATAGTAGTATAGTAGGACTAAGTAAGCGGAAGTCAAAAATTCTAAGAGAGTTTTAGAAGGGGAATTAGGAAATTATAGATAATAGAAGTAGTTATAGCTAATACTATAATAGTAGGAACTCTATAATAAATTAGGTATATATATAAATAAGTATTATCTTTAAAATAGGAGATTTTAAGAGATTTTAATTTTTTTAATTTTTTAAAGTTCCTAGGGCACCTAATTCAAGTGGTCAGGGGCACCTATATCAGGTAGTAGGGCACCTAGAGTAGGTGCCCCCGTGCTCCCACTGGGAACGGCCCGGAACTTCATAGGCGAGAAAACAATTCTTCTTAATGTATCCTTCAACTGGCCAACGGACATTATTGAAATAATTTTCTTTGTACTTGGGCGTTTCACTCGAGGTCTAGAGAGGAAGGCGGTCAATTTATGAAGGATGGCTGGGGACATAGTGGATGTGCGACTCACCTCTCTAAGACATCATCGGCTTCAAAGCTTGACTTTGGAGGATTCGTGCCTCTGGGATCTCTCCGGGTCAATAATGAGTCAAATTGGAAAATCCCCGGGAAACGATATGACATCTTTGCGCCGTCATTGCGTCAAATCTTTCTGCTCAGCTTGCAGATCATAGATTGGATTATTGTTATCGCTGGAGAGCGTTAGCCCCCGGTGATCTCAGTTCCTGGACCGAATTGTCAAAGTTTTGCAAAGTTAAGGTGCGGCTTGTAGCATTGTATTCTTACGTCAAAGGTGATATCAGTTGTTAAGCTCCTACAATAATTAAAGCTTTTCTATTTCCATCACATCAGACTAGTCAAAAGCTTCAAACGTTTTGGTCCTAACAAGTCCTTGAGACGAAGTACTCCGCACCGTAACACGGGAGTTTCATTCGAACCATAGAAAAATAAACATAAGAATTCCTCTGGGGAATTTAGTCAGCATTCTTAATTGCCGATCCACACGCGTTGAAGAACTCCCTATCTGGAATTAACAGGATAAACCTAAAGACGGTTGACGGCTTGGAATTGACCCCTGTCAATTAATAGTTGACTTAGCCCCGATTTTTAGCAAATCTAGCGAATGAGAGACTTATATCTAGGCGTTATAGACTTTCTCATATATGATCTACGTGACAGGCGGTAACACGAGCTGCCCACCCCCTTTACCATCATCCGTCTGAACTTCCAAAGCGGTAATTGTCTTCGCCTTGGAATCTTGGATACAGAAAAGCGTTTAATTCGTCCCAAGCGGAATAATTGTGACTTTTCTTGGGTGGCTAAGGTTGGCAACAGGGTAGAATTCCCTGTAAAAGTTGCAATTATTTCGCCTGGGACGAAGCCCTTCCAAGACGACGGCGGACCCATCATGTTTTAGATCATTCCCGAGAAAGAAAAATCGGACTTCTAATTGGTCAATGCTGAGTATTCACACAGTGGACAATAAATGGGCTGGTAACGAGAAAAATTGCTCAGATGAACCACGGACTGGCAGCGTCTCAAGCGTGAACTTCGATACTGCAGCGTTAATCCTTACTTGACATGATTTTTTGTGGTCTTCGGAGAAAGAGCACATGGAACGTGGCATAAAGTTTATGCTTGCCAAGAGACATTAGCTAAATGATTTTTTATGTTTCATAAATTTTCCGAATTTATTCTAGAAAATTTTGTCCAAGAATAATACGGAACTTTCATCCTACGAAGTAATCCTTCACTATATACCAAGCGGAAAAAAAAGCAACCTTTTCAGGGATTTCTACCCTGATACTAAACCTTAGCCACCCTAGAAAACTTACAAGTATTAGAAAACTTACAAGTGTTTCGCCTGGGACAATATTTGTTCTTATCAAAATGTTTCATTGTTTTGTTATTCAAGTGTGAATAACTTCAAATAGTAGTTGGTTAGGTTTACTAACTTTATTGTTGTAAGAATGAAGACGCGTTTCCTACTTACACCCAAAATACCACTAAAGTGGAAATGCCGAGCTATGTACCGGAACATGCGGAACGCCCCTTTCGCCTAGACAGTTTAGCTGTCAAACTGTATAGTAAAAAGTATCAAACTGTGTAGGAGGAGTCATGTTTGGAGTTACGAAGTATTTACTTCGACTTGTCAACTCAAATCCCCATCTTCCTGGCCCTTGTGATGGTATTTACTTGCTTCGTACTTCGTATAAGCCTTCTTGAGCGTAGGCGTGGCACGTCCCTACACTGGGCCTACCGTTTATGCTGCTTGTGGTATGACATTCCGATCTAGAAGTAGAAGTAATTGACCCGGAGATCCCAACAGCAGGCCAGGAGTAAATAAAGTAAAAGGTAAGTGTACCGTGATGCAATTTTGACAGGTCATATCCCCAGTCTTCAACATTTCATTCCCCACAAAACTATTCAATATCGATCCTGACGCACGTTGCTTTCGTTTTTGGAGGACTGGAAATGGTGGCGTGTTAGCGAACAATCGGAAAACATTTGCTTTCTTTTCTCAACTTCAACTTCTTTGCACAACTCCCATGTTTATCTGCTAAGACTTACTGCGGAGTAGAAGAACATATGGATTGCCGGTGTAATCGGGACGTGGATAATGCGTAGTACAATCTCACGCCTTCCCTTGACTTGGTGGTAAACCTTAATATCAGTTGGAAAATTTCCTGCGGCTTGTGAAGATAAAGTAGAATCAAACTATTTGGTATCTTCCCCTTGCTCGGCTCGCTCATCGTGACAGGAGTAACCATATTAACACTAACGAAAACTCAACTGATGTTTTGCTTTGCTAGCTACCAGTGACAACATCACTCAGCACATAATCGAAGAGGGGTTTGTTTATACGAAGTATGGACTTATGAATAATCTTTTGAATCACGGGTTTGCGTTTTTCTTAAAACCCCTCGCGATTAGAACGAATCTATGATGGAGAATAATAGTGGACCATCAGAATGCAGCTTTTGTTAAAGAGGGTAGACAGCTCCGAGTCGCACCCTACAAGTTAATAGTATGGTTCGGTCCCAGTTTTTAGCGAGGCAAGCGAATCAGAAACTCTGAAATAGGCGTTACAGACTTTTTTTAGAAGTATATATCATCTACGTGATAGGCGCCAGCTTTAACTACCTAGGTATCTGCCGTCTTAATGCTTGGCCCGGTAAGTGTTCGGATAACAGGCCCACGGCGGATTATACGACTTTAATACAAGTAGCGTCCGTTCAATCCCGTCGGGCCGTCGTGACTTTAACGGCCTTAACCCTGCATACTCACTTCTATACCCTGTTTTACACCTAGCGCGGGCAGAGTTCTAAATAGCTATGTCTCGTGGGCCTGTACCTTAATACATAATACTACTTTATCTACTATAAGTACGCACAGGACACAAGTACAAGAGCGAAGATAGGACTTGAAGCTATTCAGAACTGTAGAGTTACTCAGTGATTCTAATTGAATGGTTGCAAGAGCTAACTACGTCTTTCCTTCGACGAGAGGCCAAGCCTCGGAACGTAGTATAGGGGTCCTGCGTTAGACGAGCCAGGTAATTTCTCCTAAATTCTCCTTACATATTCCTATCTTTGAATGTTCCCTCCAATACGTATTACCCAGGTTGCTCCTACTTTCATTCAACGTTTTGCCCTCCGTACTTCGAAGTATTAATTACCTACTCGAGTACTTTACTTCAAAAGTAGTAGGCGCCAAGAGGTCATTAAAATCGCGGAGTGATCGACCGGAGGCCATTGAAGTCGTATCATCCCCACGGCGTCCAAGACTACACAACCTTATGCCTTCCACAATCCCATGCTCGGTACTTCGGGCAATTCGCCTTAGATTTCCCAAATTGATCCTTGCAAACGTGCGAGGCTAAATTAATTCGTATGTGTTTTGACGTTGATAGTCATCCACTCCCCATGGATTAAGTCGCCAAGCCAGTCCTTTGCACCCTTTCATGGGGCTCCCTAGGTAGGTATTGGTGATAGTATGAGGGTCCAATTCTCTTGTTTATGTTGTACAAAGCTAGGCCACCTGCTGCTCTGCTACCAATCGATGAATCTCGCGAAGACTACACTCATTTATTTTTCTAGCATGCGTTTTTTCGTTGGTATTGTATTTGCAGCCTGCTGCTTCTGGACACCATCATACGCTGCTGAAAACACTTTGCCGCCAGCACTTTGGCAAAATGTCCCAGATTGTTCGGTATGTTTTTCGTCGAGTTCTCTACGGCTTCTGTTGCACTCGAGCCTTTTCGGAAACTAACTATCTTGTAGATAGGATGTCTACTCCAATTTTATCCACAATACTGCGGCACTTTCCAAGGTGATACAACATGTTATTGCAATGATATGACACTCCGCGCAGAAACAACTCCATGTGTTTCAAATGCGTGCAACATTACGGAAAACATCCGCTGGGAAAGATATTCAGCCACAACCTGTGGCACCCCAAATGATCAAAGTCGTGTCCAATCCCAACAATATACGTACTATGTCCTTCCGGTTTTAACAGCAGTCTTCGTCGCTGTTCGGCTATGGTCGAAATATGTTTTCGGTGTCCTGGATTGGGATGACGCCGCGATGGTTGCTGCTCTGCTATTTTACTGTGGTATTGCTGCAGCAGGATTGATTATGGCCAGAAACGGATCTGGATCGCATACATATTGGCTGGACGTCCAGCAAACAATAAATTCCGCCAGAGTAAGGACTCCTGGTGTTAGTTAACAGACCATGCAGCTAATTTTGCTGCAGCTTTACTGGGTGTCTTCAATATTCCATGTGCTGGCTATCACTATGACGAAACTATCCTTACTTCTTTTTTTCCTACAAATATTTACCATCAAGAGACACCCAAGAGTGATATATCTGATTATGGGCTTTATCGTAATCTCAAACCTTTCATTTCTCATTTCATTGCTGCTGCTATGTGTAAGTCGGTTCATCATAAAGCCTAGAACATATTCGCTAATCACATTTCCCAGACGCCAACTCATGGCATATGGACAAACTGGATGTACAAGGAACCTCCAGTCAAATGTCTTAACGGGTTCGCTCTAGACTATGTCCAATCTTCCTTCAGCATCCTACACAACATAATGATCCTCGTTTTCCCAGTGCCTATCCTTTGGAAGTTGGAACTCACATGGAGAAAAAGAGCCAACCTTATTGCCATGTTTTCTGTTGCCTCGTTCGTTCTCATCGCCAGTTTTATTCGACTTCCAACCATGATAGAAGTGCAATATTCACATGATCCTTCCTGTAAGTATTCCACAATATTCCCCTCCAGTCACGTTAACTTACACCAAAAAACCAGTCGATCAAGCTCCCGCAGCTTTGTGGACGAACCTCGAAACAGCCGTGGGAATCATGTGTGCTTGTCTTCCTGCTATTCGCTCTTTGGTTGGATATTACTTCCCAAATATGAAGCTCACATTCCTGAGCACCGACGACTCACGCTCACGCTCACGACGGACACCGGGTAACACCCTTCACGGCAAAGAAACACAGGTAAAATCTCCAGGTTCTACCTTGAAGAATCCAAATTTGCGCTATCACAATAGAATATCCCTGGACTCAGACATCGAATTCGATATCCGTAGCGAGAGTCCTAATCAGAGTAGGGAAAGAGGGGCAAGCGTGCAGAGCAATGATAGTGAGAGTCCGATAAATGAAAGTAAACAGAGGGAATGGAGCTTGGTCTTGCCTCGGTCGCAAAGTGTTTTAGGAAAGAAATTCGGGACTTCCTCTCAGGTCGTGGTAGACAATTCGCCGCAGGGCAGATGGGTACACGAGGGAGTTATTGTTAGTACTACCATTGAGAGGAGGGAGAGTAGATCTGGTGATTTAGCGTATCATTTATAAAACCGTTACATAATGCTTAATTTCCATTTCAAATTTATCGGGGCGGGGTGAACAACAACACACACAATCCTGAATCTCAAACAGAGCCCCATGCAAATTACCTTTAATGGTAACCCGTGGGTTGAATATCTCACAGAGGAAATGATAAGGAGGTCGATCATGCCAAACCTCCGAAGGAGCCGAGCCGGCGTTCCCAGAAGTTGTGGGTCACGTGCCTTGGTCCCGATATAGATTTTACGACTTTTAAATACCCTGATTACAGGATTCTACGCAACTTAGGGCCTGTTTTCCGAGAATATTGTAACACAATCTCTATACTTATTAGCGTCCTTGGAAGGTCTACAAGGCATATCCACAGGACCGTGGGGCAAAAGTGGCTCTCGTGCTCCACTAGCTACGATCGTGACTTCGTAAGCCAAAATCGTAAGTCTGAAAAGTCCTTCAGGGTAGACACGCTGTAGCTTCAGCGCAATAGAGCCAAATAAGGTATAAAACCCTAAGTAAGCGCATAATAATATAACGTAGCGTATTCGACAGCAAATGATTAGTTTACTCCCTAGAATTATATAATATAGCTAGGTTCTTAAACTAGGAAGAGACTTAGACTTTAGACGCCTGAAAAGGGCTAGGAATAGGGCATATAGAGCGCTCGCAAGGACAATATTAAGGAAGATATTTTAGTCTGATCGAAATATCCTTTTGTCGTGTCTTTTGGTAGGAGAAGTACTTCGTATTATGCCTCCATATACTACGAATAGAGTTTACTAGGCACTTAGCTTCTGTACGTGGACGGAGTCTTAGACAGCCAAATATAACCCACATAATATGCCATTCGACGATAATACGGCTCAATATCGTCTCGGAAAACAGGCCCTTAGCTATCTTTATCCCTACCCCTGCTGACACGCCATTTTCTGGAATAATCAGACGTGTAGCTATATTAATAGGAATAATCTCGACTTTAGAAGGAATTAATATACTGTAGCTATTCTTAGTAAAGTACTAGAGAGGCGAGGGGAATTTGTTAGAAAAGTGCTATAATATAGATTTCTTTTCTTTCTTCTAGCGTAAGTTAGTCTATTGTAAAAGACTTTGGACGGGAACGAGTCTATTATTAAGAGAATCTAAGACAGAGAGCAAAAGATTCTCTACGTACAAGGTAGCGTACTTAAGGGGGGTGGAAAACTAAGGATACTAAATGTTACGTAGATCATATATAAGAAAAGTCTATAACGTCGAGATCAGATTCTGTGATTCGCTATTTCGCTAAAATTCGGGGCCAAGATATAGCGACTCCGAGCTGACTATGTTACGGAACATACTAGAGCTGGAGTTTTACCCCCTTTATTGTTTAGCATGTGACTCTTGCTTAGCGAGACTCCCTGTACTTTCGATATGGATCCAGGATCCATATGAGTCACGCTAGCCTTGTCAGGATGGCGCTAGTCTCGTTCAGGAAGGATCTATGGTACAGGAGAGCTCCTATAATAGAGTACTCCTTTCCCCTTTAGCCAGCTTCTTTTTATTCATCCACTTTTCACAGCTTATTCTGACAGTCTCCTGTTTTGTCCTTGACAGTCTACCCCCTTTCAACGTTCGGCACATAGAACCATATTCCATGGAATTATTCCATTCCATTCCACCTAGAATCCTTCCAGAGCCTATATAAAATGGAAAGATTCCTTCCATTAGTAGGCTCTGGAAATTCCATGGAATCTATGGAATTCCAGGCTAGTTAAAACGCATGATTATAGGAGCTATATAGCCCTCGAGAGTTAAGTAAATAGCTAGGAAGATATAATAGTACCCCTTTATAATTAACTCTAGAAATATTTGCGATACTCGTACTCTATGTAGACATTTAGGGGGACATTCACGTGATATAACCTGTTATCTGTAGCGTGGTAAATTCGAGTAGTTGAGTTAAGTAGTAGCACCTAATCAACTCAACTCGAGTAGTGAAATTCGCTATTCAACTTAACTCGCTAAGTACTCGATTAACTTATAAGTAACTCGAGTAGTATCGGCCCGATAGCCCGTAGCGCGCCTAGCCTCGCTCGCCGGCCTCTGGTCGGTCCTAGAAGGTCGGCCTACGTACGGGGACTTAGCTGAGTACCCCTCTATTAGGTATATACTATTTTCTTATATTATAGTTATATTATATATAACTACTCGAGTACTACTCGAATAGTTAAATCTACTACTTAACTTAACTTAACGGAATTACCTAATCATACTTATTTAACTCAACTCGATTAGTACTCGAGTCGGGTTAAGTATTTGATTAGAAGTGTTACTACGCTGGTTATCTGATTCAATATAAATAGGGCCCTGGAGACTTCCTATTGGTCGACGGAGCGGGAGTAGATTTTTGCGGTCATGTGACAAATTCCAGCTGGAAATTCCCCATATTCCATAGAATATACACCTCTGGAATAGAATCCTTCCAGAGGAGGCCTCTGGAATCGAATGGAATTCCAGTTGCCGAACGTTGCCCCCTTTAAATACCCAGGAATTCTGCTCGGTAGCTAGGCGAGCTAGCACGTAACTATTGCCGTTATACCCAAAGTATTTACACATCAAGTATTTCAAGAAAATCACAATAATTATTGTAGGAACTACTATATTAGAAAACCTCTTCATTACCTTTTTCACCCACTAGAAGAAGGATACTTGGTTATTACGGCATCCCAATTGTACACTTAGGTCGCTATCGATTAAATCGTAAACCGTAAATCGTAAAAGTTATATTTTTACTACTGCTGCTATGCTAGAGTGCCTATACCCCCACACCCCTACCCTCAAACTTCATATGCCTAGACGTTTTTACGTACACTGCCTAGGTGTGGCCCACCCTCACTGTCGCCTGCCCTCGCTGTCGCCCACCCTCGCCGTCGTATCCTCGCCGTCGTATAGAGGGCTTGTGCCCTAGTATGTTGTTTAGAAGAGTGAGAGAGAGAGAGAGAGAGAGTGTGTGTGTGTGTGTGTGTAAGTGTGAGTGTGAGTGTGTGGCGGAGGGACAGAAGCGGGGAAAACTTTTCAGCTTATTCCCAGCCCCCGAATACTACCTTCCTAAAGAGGCTAGCACGTGTCGCGCTAACAATTGTTTACTACTTGTACTTGTCTATCCTTTCTCTCCCTCCTACTTTCTCTTCCTTCTTTACAACAACTATCTATAACTACGACAGTAATAACGATAGCGAGAGGGTAGGGTTATTGAACGTAAATTTAGATAAATTATAAATAATTAAAAACCCTATAAATTAGCCTAAATAAAGATTTAGCCTCTAAATTTAGATCTTAGTATAAAGTTTAGGGTAAATAAAGGGGTAAAAGTAGATTAATTTCATAGTAAAATCTTGTGAGAGGCCAGACCTCGAATAGCTCAAAGGTGTGGTTTCGAATATTCAATTAAGAAGTGCGTGAAGACTACATACATGCGAGCTCTTCCTCTATATATAGAGAGGAAGAGCTTCCTGAATATTCCAAGAAACTTGCAAGAAACTTGAATGACGAATACATGATGTCAGAAGAACAAAACAAGAAAGTGTGGAAAAGTAGAAACCTGTTTGGCAGTGGGGTAATGGCCAGTGCTAAGCAGGGACTTGGTCAGTGCTTAACGAGGACTTTGGTCAGTGCTTAGCGAGGGCATGGCCCGAGCCTCCATCATGGGTTCCAACCCTCATCAGAAGAACAAAACAAGAAAGTGTGGAAAAGTAGAAACCTGTTTGGCAGTGGGGTAATGGCCAGTGCTAAGCAGGGACTTGGTCAGTGCTTAACGAGGACTTTGGTCAGTGCTTAGCGAGGGCATGGCCCGAGCCTCCATCATGGGTTCCAACCCTCACAAAACTATAAGAATTATATATAAATAAGTACTTGATTAATAGAATTATTAGTATAACTAATCTTCCTAGTCCTCGTTCTTATCCTCGTTACTTATACTATTAATCTTTTCTTCTTCCTCTATTTATATAAAAGTTCGCTCGAGTTTAATAAGTCTTTCCTCGGTAACGTCAGAGAAGTTAAGAAAAGCCGGATTCTAGTCTAATACGTACTAGTTTATATAAATAAAGATTAGTTTACTAGCTCGCGGCGCCCCCGGACTATTTGGATATTCCGATTCCGGAGTCACGTGACGCATCTAAATTATATCTAATTTATTTTCCTCTAAACGCCTAATTTACTAATTATTTTAAATTTGTTTAAATTAGATCTAGATTAATAACCCTACGAGAAGAGATAGGGGGTACTTATTTACTAGAAGGGTCCCGGGGGGGGGGGGGGG